AGATACAATAACGCGAGCGAAGCCGCGGGCAAAAGCTAGTTACATTATAAAATTTGTAGGATACTAGAACCTAAACGAGACTGGAGATGTGTGTCTTCATTAGCATTACATAGTATAAAATAAAGTCGCTGTCTGTCCCTATGTATGCTTAAATGTTTAAAACTACGCAACGGATTTTGTGGCGGTTTTTTAATAGATAGAATGATTCAAAAGGAAGGTTTATATATAAATATATACTAAGAATAACTACTCAAGAATAGAATAGAATAGAAATTATTTATTCAAAAAAACTTAATTTAAGCACTTTTGAATAGTCATAAAACTTCACAAGAAGAACGAGCAAGAAACTGTGCTGTTTGTGTGTTGCTCTTTTAAATAATCAAAATCACTAAATTTTTTTTTTTATATGAAGCATTTAGGAAATGTTGTAATGCTTATAAAATATATACTATTTTTATATTATTAAACTACTAATTTGTAACAATTTATAGTTAGTAATAAAATAAAAATATTTCGAATGAATGAAACTACAAAGTCCCTTTCATCACGTATAACTACTATAAAAATGAATCATGGAAAAATGTCGACAGCGCTCCACAATTTCTTCGTTTAATATCATTTCAAAAGTGAAGGCAAAGAGATTAATGCATACACCCATCCATTAGGAAAACATAAGAACTTGTTAGAAGTATGTTCGTAAAAAAAGTTACGCACAGGTTAAAGTGGTCTTTGGAAAATAGTAAGTCTTTTATTAGTAAGTGTAGTGATACAGATCTCACGAATCCATAGACAAGAACTAATCTCTAAAATCTACATCATAATATATATTAATTGTAAAACTGTATAATATATGTACTAAATTAAATATACACACACGCAGACAACTATTCACTTTTCTGTGTGGATAGCACACATATTAACACTGAAACGATAACATTGTTTTCGCTGCAAATATATTTTAGTTTTTTATTGTAATTTTTTTTATTTAATTAAAATATATAATTGCCTTTATTGAGAAGGCTCTTTATACATCTGGATTATATTCTTACTAGCTACTCGCCCCGGATTCGCACGGGTGTACACGTATTATACATATAAACCTTCCTCTTGAATCACTCTATTTATTAAAAAACCGCTTCAAAATCCGTTGCGTAGTTTTAAAGATTTAAACATACACAGGGACGGACAGACAGCGATAGCGACTTTGTTTTATACTATGTAACTAGCTACTCGCCCCGTCTTCGCCCGGATGTACATGTATTATACATATAAACCTTCCTCTTGAATCACTCTATCTATTAAAAAAACCTCTTCAAAATCCGTTGCGTAGTTTTAAAGATTTAAGCATACATAGGGACGGACAGACAGTGACAGCGACTTTGTTTTATACTATGTAACTAGCTACTCGCCCCGTCTTCGCCCGGATGTACATGTATTATACATATAAACCTTCCTCTTGAATCACTCTATCTATTAAAAAAACCTCTTCAAAATCCGTTGCGTAGTTTTAAAGATTTAAGCATACATAGGGACGGACAGACAGTGACAGCGACTTTGTTTTATACTATGTAACTAGCTACTCGCCCCGTCTTCGGCCGGATGTACATGTATTATACATATAAACCTTCCTCTTGAATCACTCTATCTATTAAAAAAACCTCTTCAAAATCCGTTGCGTAGTTTTAAAGATTTAAGCATACATAGGGACGGACAGACAGCGACAGCGACTTTGTTTTATACTATGTAACTAGCTACTCGCCCCGTCCTCGCCCGGGTGTACACGTATTATATATATAAACCTTCCTCTTGAATCACTCTATCTATTAAACAAACCGCTTCAAAATCCGTTGTGTAGTTTTAAAGATTTAAGCATACACAGGGACGGACAGACAGCGACAGCGACTTTGTTTTATACTATGTAATGATGATGTTTATTAAGATTTATCCCACTTCACTCGGCCTCTACTAGTTACAAGGCAAGGTTGTAAAGTAACCCTTCCAATGCCGTAGTCGTTACAGATGCGTATCATTTTTATTTCAATTGATTTATAGCGCATGAAACTATCACATAATTATGTTTTACGACCGCACTACACTTTTATGAGTAGTTCAGTTAATTCCATATCGATTACTTGTCCACTTTGTGGTAATATTCCACAGTTATATATTACTACCTGTGCCCGCGGTTTCGCTCGCATTAAATTTATAGCCTATATGTTATTCTGATGTATAAACTATATTACTGTAAAGTTTCATCAAAATCCGTTCAGTAGTTTTTGCGTGAGGGAGTAACAAACATCCATCCATACTCACACACTTTTGCGTTTATAATATTAGTAAGATATATCCGATTATTGTGTATTTATCTTATTTAATTAGTGTGTTTTTTATACAAATATTTGATAATTATCTGTGGAATTAACTAAAAACTTTAGCTGTATAATAATTTTGTTTTGCTTTAGTAATTTCACGTAGATATAAAAATAAATAAATGTTAAGCATTCCTGACCTATTTCATTTTAACTTAACTCTACACTTTTTCGGTTCAATTTTAAATTAACAGTTTTTCACTAAATGCATAGGATTAGGATTAGCTATATGGTAAGTGTGGTCTGTTTGTTCTCGCTAATCTATGAAATGGCTGGACCGGTTTTGACGGGACTTTCACTCGCAAAAAGCTGTCGTGTTGTAGTGAGTACGTACGTGGACGAAGCGGCGGGCAATAACTAGTTAACAATGTAATCAAGACTGCGTTGACAAATTAAATCTCAATTTTTAATTACCGTAAAGTAATTACCCTCTAAATTAATTCATAAAATCCATTTTCCTGTATCATTACGTTCATATACTTTTTTTTATTACAACTTCAACAAACCAATTACAAAATATAATTGTCTACTTATCTAACAATTTATTATGATTCCAATGTGCACGAGATACGGTTCATTTTAAATTGGCGGTAGTGAACTCTTCATTAAGTAATCTTGCAGTATTCACTTCTTGAATGAATTGGCCAATTAACGAAACGTAAATAAGGGTGGGTATGACGTAGATTAAATAGAAGTGGAGGCAACTGTTTGTAAAAAAAATGTGTTCCTAAATAAAAAAATATGAATTTGTGTATCTAAGATTTACATATATAACTAGCTAACGTAGCAAACGTTCTTTTAACATATAAATTTAAAATTAAAAAATAGGGGTTGGTGATAGAAGGGTGAAAATGTAGGTTTGCATGTATTTTTAAATGCCACATTATAAATAAATAAAAATATAAAATATTGGCGAATTTTTTTTTTTTGTGTTAAGCCACCCATAGTAATTATGATATTAACCGACTGCCTCGGTGGTCTAGAGGTTTACCATACCGCTTTAATACAGATGGACGCGGGTTCGATTCCACGGTACAAACATTTGTTGTCTGGGTATTTTCTATGTATTTACAAATAAAATTTATCTAAGTATTTATATCAGTCGTCTAGCATATAGGCATATCACAAGCTCTGTTTAGATTGGGCCTAGATGGCCCTCTATGAATTGTCCTGAGATATTACTCTTATTAATGTATATTTGTATATAATTAATTTAAGCTATTTTATTTTAAAACTAGCTAACCCCACAAACGATCTATCTTATATATATATATATATATATTCAATATTTTTTTCTATTTGAGTATTTAATTGAATTAGTGCTAATTGGTAATTTGTATTCACACACTGAAACTTAAAAATGTAAAGTAATAATAAAATGATTTAAAAGAGCAACACGCAAGTTTCTTGCTCGTTCTTCTTGTGATGAGACAGCTTTCCGAATGAGCGGTAGATAAAAAAAATGTAATAATGACTATTCAAAAGTGTTTCAGTGTAAGTTTATTTGAATAAATGATTTTCTATTCTGTTCTATTCTATTCTTAACTATGAATATTGAATTCGGAATTAACTTTCTAATATTCCGCTCAAATTTCTTATTTTTTTCTTTCATAAGAACCTTCCCCTGATAATAACATCCACAACAAGTATTAACGAATTCAGTCCTGCCGTTCACAGGACATATACCTAGATAAACATTTATTTATATTTTATGTCTAGTGACTAAGTCATTATTCTGACCATCTTTTATCCTTTATCTGTAATTTAATCTTTATGTTCTGCAACTTATATAGTGTACTTGAGTTTTATAATGTCCTGTAAGGAAATAGTCTTACCTTTTCATTCTAAATTCGAGCGATATCGTTCTTCATTACATTTTATACCAACAATTACATCAATAACAACAAATAAAAGGAAAAAGCATCAACTAATTATAAACCTACGTAAAACACCAAGTAAGCCACTTTATAAGAATAATTTATTTAAATGCTTATTGAGTACAAAGAATCAGCAGAATTAGCTTTAACTATTGTGCATTGCGTTAGTTTTAGTATATTTATCTATATTTAACGTGTATATATATGTATATATTAATTTATTCAATATATATCTTACATATTCATATATGTATATAATAATTTTTACATTATATTTATATAATACTAGCTGTCCCGGCAAACGTTTTGCCTTAAAATAAAAAATTAGGGGTGGACTACCCCTAACATTTAGGGGTATGAAAAATAGATGTTGGCCGATTCTCAGACCTACTCAATACGCTCACAAAATTTCATGAGTATCGGTCAAGCCGTTTCGGAGGAGTATGGGAACGAAAACTGTGACACGAGAATTTTATATATAAGATATATGTAATTTTCGTATAGTTATTTATAGGTAATAGCACATAACGCTTTCTGACTATACCCTAAAGTTAGCTGGGAGAGAATGCCATATGGCATTGAACTCGCCAGAAAGAAACAAAAGATTTTTGATCAATAAAGAATAAATAAATAAAACTACTATCAACGAGCAACTACTAAATAGACTCGTAAAAAATTTATTACTCATTTACGATAACATCGTTTATGGCAACAAAAACAAAGAACATTGATTATCAAGCAAAACAAAACCAACCTTTGCACTCGTTAGCGTCCCTTGCCGTCGCTCGTCCCCAGGGCCTGTCGAAATGGAATGGCTTGCATCTCTCGCAATCTCTTCCGGCTGTATTATGCTTGCAGTCACACGCCAGCTGCTGCACCCCATTCGCCATCTCCCCACCTTTCATCGGTATGCACCGGGAAGCATGACCGTTGCACTTACATCGGCCGCCAACAGCGAAATCAGACACCGCGTAATGCTGGCTCCCAGGCGCCGCCTGCAGCTTATTATCCACTTCATCACCCTCATTGACCATGTGCAAACGGTTGAATACCACCCTCACGTCAGTAGCTGTCACCCAATCCTGTAGTACGGGAGATATATCGAAATTTGCCGCGCTAGGTCGACCTTCTAGTGTACTGAACGCCAAACGAGCTCCACCGATACTGTCCCCGTTCAATCTATGGGAATCCGAGCACCTAGCTTCCTGCTCGTTTGCTGCAGTCACAGTAGCCTTGTTAGGTCTCCCGTATACGCGACGGCACTGGCTCGAGTAGAATTGAAACGGTTGCCAGGTTACACCGTAGTCGGCGCTCTTGTATATAGCTACTGAGTCAGCACGAGCCGCTTTCGGACAGAACTGCAAGCTCACGTATGTTAACTCATACTTTTTCCCAAGGGATAAGGTCAGAGACACGTTGTCAGGCGGCGAGTCGTACGAAGCCGGTGCGAGGGCGGCTGAACGCCAGCATGTCACGTCGTTGGGGTTGTTCAGGTCGGTCAGATGGGTGGGCGGGTGTTTGCGGTCAGATCTAGCAGCGTCGCAGACTCGGCAGGCGTTCTCGGGGAGCTGATCGCCGGGGGGGTCACACAAGCGCTCGGGCCCGCGTCTTCCGCATATGGACGAAGCTACGACGGGGGCCCCGAAGGCAGCATTGACGAAGTCGGGGATACAGCGCCTGGGGCGGCCGTCCTCGTAGCAGGGGTCGGGCGGGGAGGCCGCGAGGGCCAGGGCCGCGGTGGCGAGGAGGGCCACGGCGCGGGCGGGCATCATCACTCACAACACTCACTCGCGTAAAGTTTGCGCGTAGCACGGACAACTGCGACACGTACACGCCGATCGGTTGCCGCCGGCAGACTGAACGCCGGCGGGGCGCCGCAGCTTTTCGAGCTCGGAGCTTTTGTGATCGTACAAATTAGAGGACTTTTTGTTTATAGTGAAAGTTCCTTTTTCTAAAGCTCACATTGCGGCGTGTAAATGAGATTTTTGTAATACACCCCAACTTACTATTGTTTGTAATACATTAAATTAAAACAATGTACCAACTTTGTACAAAATGTATTTAGGCAGCTTTAGGATCTGAATACGATGTTTTTGTGTGTTTGTATTTTACAAATTATGAACGGATTTCCGAAAATATTTTACAATCATAGACAGACCGTCAGATTCAATTTATATATATATATATAGTATTTTATAATAAATGAACCTATAGCTTCTTAACTAGTCAAATTTAGGTAGCTTCTTTCTGATATATTTAATAGATCATTACTTGATCATAATTAAATACTTTATAATTAAAAAATGTAGTGAATACTTTAATATTATAATATATAATTTAATATATAATATTCAGTTTAAATCCTACTTATTGGTGATAAAATTACTAAAATAATAATAAAAAAAAAAGATTTCTGAACTTTTAGTGCACTGAAGACTTAGATTTAATTTATATAATACTATCTGTACCCGCGACTTTGTCCACATAGAATTTAATTTTATTTTTCTAAAATAAAAGTAACCTAAGTTACTCTTTATTACATCAGCTACCTGCCAAAAAAAGTCCCGTCAAAATCGGTCCAGCCATTTCAGAGATTAGCCGGAACAAACAGATAGACAGACAAAAATTGTAAAATATGTTATTTTGGTGTATGTACCGTATTTATATTCATATACATGTAGTAAACACGGTTATTTTAATATTACAAACAGACACTCCAATTTTATTTATATTACATTATTATCATACTCTATAATAAATGCATTTATATCTTTTTAATTTGTCAAATTGATATAGCTTCATTCGGATATATTTAATAGATCTCATTACTTCAACATAATTATGTATTTCATAATTTAAAAATTAAGATTTACTTTAATTTCCAGTTTAAAAATTACTTGTTGTTGATAATATACTGATCAAATAATAGTTATTATTATTATTATTATAATAATAGTTTAACAACAATTTATACCAGTCATTTAAAGAAAATTCTTGATTTTTTTATAAATATGTAAAAATTAAATAATTGTATTATAATTACTTATTGATATATATCCGCATCCACAGCTTGTTTTTCGACATAAATCTTCTTTAGAGACTTCCATTCTTCTTGGCTTTTCTTTAACAAATTCTTTTCAACTTAATATCTCAAAGTTCGTAAACTAAAAACATACGCCTAATAATATAAATAAGTATATATATTAATTGGTATAGAAATCTATAAAATTATAATCTACAAACCATAATTATATACACATACAGGCCACAAAAAAACCTACTTCAATTGCGTAGCTATCAAATAAAAAAAGAATCATCAACACAAAAAAACAACCAATTCAAAAACGTCCACCTTTTTTGAAGTCGGTTGGCAATTTGTTCTTAAAAAAAGAATCATTAAAACAAAAAAACAGCCAATTCGAAAACGTCCACCTTTTTTGTAGTTGTTTGGCAATTTGTTCTGAAAAAAAATCATTAAAACAAAAAAAACAGCCAATTTCAGAAACTCCCCCTTTTTTGAAGTCGGTTGGCAAATTGTTCCAATTCATCGGATTACACCCGAAAACAATTTAAAAGATATCGCAAACAAACCGTCCCATTTTGCGTTCCCCAATTTAATTATAACTCAACATTATATGGAGTATGCAAGCAAAAACAACTTCTAAACTCTCTATGCGGGGACTCGGGATTTTCAGGGGTTTAATATAATTTTTACAGTCAAAACGTCAAGGTGAAACGGGTTTCTGCGGAACCGCGCCCAAGGCGGGGCACGTGCCTACAAAAGAGTTAGACAAGGTACGCAGTTAAATATAGTTTTTATAAACAAAATATTTATATATAAAAAGTTTCTGTTCCCGCGATATCATCCGCGTGGAACTTAACTTTATTTTTTTAAAATAAAAGTAGCCTAAATTACTCCTTATTACATCAGCTACCTGCCAATAAAAGTCTCGTCAAAATCGGTTCAACCATTTCAGAGATTAGCTGGTACAAACTGATAGACAGACAAAAATTGTAAAAAATATTATTTTGATATATATATATCCATATGCATGTAGTAAAAAACGGTTATTTCAACATTACAAACAGACACTCCAATTTTATTTACGTGTCACGTTGTTTGTCCGCGATGGACTCCTAAACTACTGAACCGATTGCAAATTTGTTATGCACATTGTGTATAATTTGACCCAACTTAAAAGATAGGATAGCTTTCATCTCAATTTATAGTCGCAATATTATTTTATTCAAGAACTTTAGCTACAACAACGCGTGGTCGGGCCTACTTTTAACTTTATTTTTATATAGTTACACGGACTCGGTAAATGACTGATATAAAAAAAATGCACTAACGGAATGACGTAATTTAAACAGCTCCTTTATTTAAACAAATTTAACTGCCTCGTAGTCTAGTGTTTTAATACACCACCTTACTTCCGATGGTCGCGGATTCGATTCCTATATTCATTAGTATTTTATTTGTATCAATCTAGGTGTTTTCTATATCTAAATATTTATAACTCAAAGGTGACTGACATAGTGATCTATCAACGCACAGCCCAAACCACTCCCAAACCACTGGACGGTTCGGGCTGAAATTTAGCATCATGCATGCTAAATTTCGTTTCTTAGCGGATGCCTACGTCATAGTAGCTTTATGCATGCAAAGTCTCAACCCGATCGGTTTAAAATTGACAAAGTTTCATATAAACTTTCATCCCCTATCCCTTTGGGGGTAGAATTAACCAAAATCATTTCTTAGCGGATGCCTACGTCATAACATCTACCTGCATGCCAAATATCAGCCCGACCCGTCCAGTGATTGAGGCTGTGCGTTGTTAGATCACTACGTCAGTCACCTTTGAGTTATATATATTTAGATGTATCTAAGTATTTATATCAGTTGTCTAGTACCCATAACACAAGCTCTGCTTAGCTTGGGTCTAGAAAACGTGTGAAATGTCGTGGATTATTATTTATCTATAGATCATCCTAGATTCTATAGGAGGTAGACAGAGAGAGAAAAAACAATTGCAAACAGCCTGCTATAAAGATCTACCTATATTCATTTCACAATTACTCAACAGAGCACCAAAAAGACTATGAGCACTCGAAACTTGGGAAACAAAGGATTCCGTACGGTGCTGGGAAGTGAACACAATAACTCAATTAACGGCAGCCACCTTTCTGGTCGACTGTACATGTTGGAAGATGTAATTATACCCTTATCTCGGGCGGACACCGAATGGTAATTAGTCACTACCCTGTATGCATACGCGGGGGCTGAATTCACCCCCAGATCATGTCCCATACATGTGGAAGTGGCAAGAAAACGTACTTACCTATATTTTTGCAATCTGTACAAGTCTAAATCTTATAGTTTTTCTCGCAAATTTTACTGTTCGGATTTTGATGAAACTTTACAGTAATATAGATTATACATCAGAATTACGCGTTAAAGTTCAATAAAAAATATAGCCTATAAGTTAGACTATATTTTTTATTGAAATTTAACGCGGATCAAAACCGCGGGCACCGCTAATCTTAATCGTAATCAATAAATGCGAAAGTTTGTAAGTATGGATATGTTTGTTAGGTTTTCACGCAAAAATTACTGAACAGAACTGAACCGCGGGTACAGCTAGTAAGATATATTTCGACATATATTATTTGTACAACCACAACAAGGACAATCAGCAGGACATTCAAATCAAATCAAAATATCTTCATTCATGTAGGTCTATTACAGACTCCTATGATATGTAACAACTATCGTCAGTTCGGAGAGCATGGGAGTTAAGAAGAACTGACAAGAAACTCAGCTCTTATTCTTTTCAAATGTGCTTGTATATATTTTCAAAAATACAGACTAATTTTCAAATTCAAAATTAGACAGAATAGAGTGACCGCACCAGCATATGCTAGTGCACTTTTTGTCGAAACGAAATAATCTATTCAGTGATCGTAATCAGAACATTGTCGACTACATAAGGACCAGGAACCTGACAACCTGAGGGTGACGCAGCTGGAACCGAGTCACAACGCGAGTTTCAATGCGTTTGTGGCAACCAACATGCTTAGTACCTTCATTAAAAAAATATATGACTATTCAAAAGAGCTTTAATTTAAGTTTATTTCATTTAAGAGTAACTCACAAGTTTCCTGCTAGTTCTTCTTGTGATAAAACTGCTTTCTGAATGAGCGGTAGATTAAAAAGAATAAATATGACTAATCAAAACTGTGTTTGAATAAAAAAAAATGTTTCTATATCTAGATTTATCTATTTATATCATCGTCATTTTGTAAACTTTCATTTATATTTCACTATAATAGACATTATTTATATTATTAACTCCCGGTTAATAATATAACAACTTAACAAGAATAATTTTATGGCAAATAAAGGTATTTACCTCTCTTGATGTTTTGACTCAATAATAATAATGAAATAATAATATTGATAATAATAAGTAAGTGTAGAGAAAACCAGCAAAAGCTGAGAAAAAAATAGATAATAAGTATAATAATAATAATAAACCATCTCCTCTCCTTAAGAGGGGAGATGAGAATTTGTTTTAAGTAAAAATAATAATAATAATATAAATAATTATCAGTTCATATTTATTTCAGATGTCTCTTCTATTTCTGCTGTAGGTATACACAAATAGGCAGTGAAACTCACGTTCGACGTTCCATCAGATAGACAACCCTTTTCAAGCTTCACGTAACGTATAGGTGTTGATATATTTTACAATATCTGCGCCCTACTAAACAAGTAGATCCCGCGGTTTCACCCCACAACTCTAATCTTATATTCCTATGATTACTAAGTCTTACACTTA